GTCAGGATGCAGGGTACCGTCCGTCGAGATGGCAAGAGGGATGAACGCTCGAGGAGGAGTAGTCATGGCATATGCAGCGCGATGTTTGCGAATCTTCTCAGACGCTGCAACATGGAGGGCGTCGAGGTTGACCTCCCCCCACTTGGTCAGGTCGGCAGAGCTACCAATGTAAGGGTGGACCAACGTCACGTCCGCCATCAAGCCCTCGTACTGCTCGGACCCTCGATCGCGGATTCCAGGAATGTGGATATCGCCCTTCATCTTGCGGCCATGAGGATTGGAGGGTACCTGCCGTCGAGAACGAGGATCCCCCACTGTATCGATGACGCTCTGAAGACCAGCTTCGTTCAGCATCGACCGAATCGTACGAGTAAGGTTGTCATGCGCCGTGGGAAGCTTGGAGGATCGGCGTTTGCAGGTCTGGAGATGATGTGCAGCAACGGAGGGATCGAGCTCGCGCTGACATCCATCACATTCCGTCGGACACTGGCAGATCGGCATGCCATGGAGATAGCAGTCGAGCATCTGAGCATAGCGGTGCGGGAAGGCCTTGAGGGGGTAGTAGCTCGAGACTCGCATCGGAGAGTGGCTCAGGTCACGCTCAGGAAAATGAGCGAAGATGGTAGACTGCAAGACCCTATCCTGCGACTTGAGCGAGTGTGTCCTGCGGCTGTGCAAGGTGAGGATATCACGCTGCTGATCGGTCAGCGCAGCGCGAGCATGCACATGGCGAGGGAAGACGCGCATGACAAGAGGGGTCACATTTCGCTGCGCAGGGGGAGGAATGAAGTGCTCATGAGACGAGTCGACGAGAGCGCGCAAACCAGGGATGTGTACCACAGATGCCGGGGGGCGTCCTGCATCATCAGGCACAGCAGCCGGGGCAGGTGGGATCGCCGCACCATCTGCAGCCGGTGCAGGAGCCTTGACACGACGGTAGAGGATCGGCTGCCTCCGGGTATCGCGTCTAAGGGATGTTATTCCTCCTGCATGCTCCTGCTGCTTGTTGCTTGATTGCTTGACCCTTAGGCTGCTTGTCTGCGCGGCTTCGCGCTTGGGCTGGCGGTGCCGCGTCTGGGTGCCAGCAGTGCTGGTTCTTTTCGGGCTTGTGTTTTGTGTGTGCTTGTGCAGCTTCTCGCTGTGGACTGTGTGCCTGCCGGTTCAGCTTGTTCCTGCTTTGTTTTGCTTGAGGCATTTTTTACCTTCTGCCAGTAAATCCTATACTAGCGTCCGCTCGAGGTGTACAATGGATTTACTGGCAGAAGTGCCTCAAGCAAAATAAAGCAGGAACAAGCTAAACCTCCTGGCACACAGCGCACGAGGTAGTCCTCGCTCATTTTCCTGAGCGTGACCTGAGCCACTCTCCGATGCGAGTCTCGAGCTACTACCCCCTCAATGCCTTCCCGCACCGCTATGCTCAGATGCTCGACTGCTATCTCCATGGCATGCCGATCTGCCAGTGTCCGACGGAATGTGATGGATGTCAGCGCGAGCTCGATCCCTCCGTTGCTGCACATCATCTCCAGACCTGCAAACGCCGATCCTCCAAGCTTCCCACGGCGCATGACAACCTTACTCGTACGATTCGGTCGATGCTGAACGAAGCTGGTCTTCAGAGCGTCATCGATACAGTGGGGGATCCTCGTTCTCGACGGCAGGTACCCTCCAATCCTCATGGCCGCAAGATGAAGGGCGATATCCACATCCCTGGAATCCGCGATCGAGGGTCTGAGCAGTACGAGGGCTTGATGGCGGACGTGACGTTGGTCCACCCTTACATTGGTAGCTCTGCCGACCTGACCAAGTGGGGGGAGGTCAACCTCGACGCCCTCCATGTTGCAGCGTCTGAGAAGATTCGCAAACATCGCGCTGCATATGCTATGACTACTCCTCCTCGAGCGTTCATCCCTCTTGCCATCTCGACGGACGGTACCCTGCATCCTGACACCGCTGTGTGCCTAGGTATAGGATTTACTGGCAGAAGGTAAAAAGTGCCTCAAGCAAAACAAAGCAGGAACAAGCTGAACCTCCTGGCACACAGTCCACAGCGAGAAGATGAAGGGCGATATCCACATCCCTGGAATCCGCGATCGAGGGTCTGAGCAGTACGAGGGCTTGATGGCGGACGTGACGTTGGTCCACCCTTACATTGGTAGCTCTGCCGACCTGACCAAGTGGGGGGAGGTCAACCTCGACGCCCTCCATGTTGCAGCGTCTGAGAAGATTCGCAAACATCGCGCTGCATATGTTTCTGCTATGACTCCTCCTCCTCGAGCGTTCATCCCTCTTGCCATCCGATGATCTCGACGGACGGTACCCTGCATCCTGACACCCTCCCGAGTCCGCTTCATCTGGTATCTCGCGGACATCATTGCTCAGCGCTCGATGCCTCTTGAGGATGCGGCGTTTGGTCGGCACTTCGTGCCTGATGACGGCCCTGCTGCTGAGGTCTTGGCTCGCAAACGCGCCGCCACCTATCAGCGCCTCACTATGCAGCTGACGCTGGAGGCGCTCTTGTCTGGTGCGAGGCGCATGACGCCCTTGCGGGCGCAAGCACTTCTGCAGCGGACTCAGGGATGCTGGGCACAGGAGCACGGTACCGTCTTCCTCACTAGCCTCCGGGCCGAGTCAGCGGAAGCCGAGACAAACACCACCCGTGACGGCGGCGACGCCGCCGGCATCAATGCCCAGGGACCGGGGCTGGGCGGCATCGGAGGCAGCTCGGACCACTGGGCCAGCTGCAAGCACCCCATTGGTGTCGAGCTCTCAGGCTCCGGAGGCATCCGACGTCCGATCGGCTCCAGTCTGGATGTTTCCCCCATGGGAGTCCGAGACTTCCGGGGAAGACTCCTCGGGCTACTCGCTTGTTCCTGCTTTGTTTTGCTTGAGGCACTTTTTACCTTCTGCCAGTAAGTAAACTTAGTGCCTCAAGCAAAACAAAAAACTCAGGAGATTTACTGGCAGAAGGTAAAAAGTGCCTCCGAAGCAAAACAAAGCAGGAACAAGCTAAACCCGCTTGCAACAAAGCAGGAGGTTTAGCTTGAACAAAGCAGGAGCCTGTTTAGCTTGTTCCTCCCCTCCCCTGAGAAACGAAATACAAATATCGTCAATTTGTTCATGAAGAAACGACTTCCACGAAAGACCCCCGGAGAATGGTCTGGCAGCGTCCGCGGCCCGTGACGGTACGCGATCACCGTCACTCCGAGGCGGCCCTGAATGGCCCGGCGGCCGGCCGCGCCGCTTCCGCGGCGCTGGTACCGGGGAGTCCCGGGCCGGAGCCGCCGGCGCCCGGATCGGCCTGTGACACCCGGGCCCCGGATCGGACCGGCGTACCGTGAACCGGTAGTACGGTCGGACTCACCGTTACAACGCGGCCCCGGCGGCTCGGAGCTGAGTCAGCCCGGCTGGCCCAGTGGCCCTCATCCCGGATCATCGGATAGGATTCAAGTTCGGAACTTGAGTAATACAAGTTGGAATTCTCCCGAAATAGCGCGATGGCGACAAAGGGGCGTGGGCGTGGGCGTGGGCAAGGGGCAGTGGTAGTGGCAGGAGCAGAGGCAAGCAGAGGTAGGGTCCGATCAGGAGCAGAGGTAGGGTCCGATCAGGAGCAGGGGTGTGGCCCGATCAGGAGCAGAGGCAGCGTCCGATCAGGAGCAGGGGTGTGGCCCGATCAGGAGCAGAGGCAGCGTCCGATCAGGAGCAGAGGCAGGGGCAGGGGCAGGGTCGGGGAAATTCAGTTGGTGCGATGATGTGAGAGAATTGATGGTATGCAAACGGAAGAGGGAGTGGTGCTTTCATGATTGAGAGCTGTGCTGAACGGGTTTCAATTCAGAAAGGAATGGGAGTCTTTCAGATACTCGAGGCTACCAAGGTGAGTCGTTGCTCTCCTAGCGCGCCGACCTGTTGACTTGTATTCTTAGACTTCCTCGACCTCCCAGCCGAAGAAAGGAGCAGCTACGTCATCGTCTGCTTCCACTCTCTCCGCCATGACTCAGATGGGCCAATTCAATGGGAAAAGCCCCAAGGATGAGGCGATCCAGTCCATCGAGAATTGGTAGGCGAAGAGTTCTAGGTGTTGCGAATGACTCTTGTTTGACAGGTTCAGCTCAGAGCTAAAGTCGTTCATGGGAGGTGCTCCCAAGAAGTGAAGGAAGAAGGAGAGAAGTTTCAGAGCACAACGTTGATGGAGGAGATTCTGTTTCATTACACGCCGTATGCTTCATCTTGTTTGTCATATGCTTCATCTTGTTTGTCATTCTGTTTCTTTTCGTATCAAGCTTCTGCTACTTTCGTGCGGCGAACTCTTGAACTACCGTCGAGAAAGAGCGTGAAGAGTTTCTGAGGGAGGATGATTGCGTGGAGTGCTGCACGAATGTTGAATGCCTGCTCTAGCGTTGCTTAACCTGCTGGCCCTGCTGAGGTTCGGTAGAAAGGATCATCCTGCACGAAAGTTGTCCAGAGCTTCAAGCACCACCTAAGCCGAGTTCCACGGTGTCTGATCACCATAGCTCGAGCTTCTCGCGTGATGCTGTTCCAGTCAGTGACTGCCAGCATGCTCAATGCCGCGGCTGCTGCATCATGCTGCTGCCGCCGCATCAAGACTACATCAGGTTCACCTCAAAGCGGCTGCTGCATGAAACTTGAGTGACTTGGCCGGGCCCGGAGTTTTTCACTGCCAGGCCGCCTACGGCGCCGTTGACGGAGGCCGCTGAGCGCTCAGCCCGGCCCGGCCGCTCCTCGCCGCCCCGGGGCCCGCCGCTCCCGGCGGGGCCGCCGGGCCGACCCCCTCACAGAGCCTCGGAGTCCGATCGGATCAAATCATTTTGCCACGGTTACAAACAGTAACGTTCAAACAATTATCGTCTTCACATTTTCATCCCTATCGGTGCTCGTCCATGGTGCGAGTGGTGGTCGTCGGCGACGCGCAGGTGACCCGAGAAGGCAGGGGGAAGGAGAATATGGAAGAAGAGCATGCAGAAGATGGAAGAAGAGCATGCAGAAGATGGAAGAAGAGCATGCAGAACGAGAATGAGAATGCTGGGGACACGTTTCTTGTGCCGAGACCGTCAGGACAGAAAGATTAGGATCTTGAGAATTTCATTAGCGCTGGGGCCTAGAAGACAAGTGATAGGGACATGAACGGACCGAGACACGACGAGACGTCTGTTCACATCAGGAGGCTATATTTATTCGCTTTTATTCTGTTAGAGTGTGTTGGAGGGTTTGAGGGAGAGGATTGTGTATGTTGAGGCAAGGCAGGTTGGCAAGAGTTCTATCATCAAGTGCTACATCTCCAACACCTTCGACGAGAACTTGGCACCTGTCATTCCAAGTGAGCTTCTTGTGCATGAAACCTGGCACTGATGTCATGTAGTCGCTGTTCTGCCTCCCGATGCCTCGCCTGAGCGCGTCCCTCTCACGTTGGTGGATACCTCGAGTCGAGACTGGAATATGCTGGAGGAGGAGGTCAGACAAGCTGACGTGGCGGTACCTTCACACTCGCGCGCTGCATCGACATGGTAATGTCAGCGCAGGTGGTGGTCTATGCGGCGGACAAGCCAGACACGCTTGGCAGAGTCACTTCGCATTGGGTTGTTGAGTTCTGCATTTGTTTCATGCTGACGATGGGGCCACGAAAGCTGCCCATGCTGCAAGCAACCAAGGAGAGCATCCCTGTGGTTGTCGCTGGAAACAAGTTGGACCTCAGAAGCGGGGATGCGCACAGCATCGAGAGTGAGCTCAGGAACGCCGCAGCTCCTATCATGGAGAGCTTCAGCATAGTCGAGACATGCATAGATTGCTCAGCAAAGAGAATGATCAACATCCCCGAGGTTCGTCAGTCTTCTGTTCTCTGATGCCTTTGACCGGGACAAGCAGGTGATGTTGTTTGCCACCAAAGCTGTGTTGCATCCTTCTGCTCCTCTCTACGATGCTGTGCGACACGAGTTGAAGCCACTATGCATCAAGTAGGCCTCGCATCTCCAGGCTGTGCATGATCGCAACATTCTAGGGCTCTCAAGCGAATCTTCAATCAATGTGACGGCGATGCTGATGGAGTCCTAAGCGACGTCGAGCTCAACAAGTTCCAGGTGCTTGACTGGTCGAGGGGTAGACACGTCAGTGCAGTGACTGATCTCTCTTCAGGTGTCTTGCTTTGGCTCTCAGCTCCTTCAAAATCAAGTTTACGGCATTAAGAATGTCCTGCGTCGTAACCTGCCGGATGGAGTGACTGAGAGAGTAGAGACGCCAGAGAGGAGGCAGGTTGAGGTTGATGCTGTAGCAGGGCATCACCTTCGTAGGCTTCGTCTATCTGCTCACTTTGTTCATTCAAAGAGGACGGACCGAGACAACCTGGGAGGTCTTGCCTGCTTGACAGTCTCTGCCTACTCCATCCCTTCATCCTCCTTTCACTTGCCGACCCTCCTCCCTCCTTCCTGTCTCAAACTACCCTTGCCCTCCTACCTTGTTTGTCCCTACTGACGCGTGTCAGGTCCTGCGAGCTTACGGCTACGGCCTGGACTTGCGGCTGAGGAGAGAGACGCTCCCCAACCTCGGCAACGAGCATCGAGACCAGTGCCACCAGCTCACCGACGAGGCGCTCGTGTTCCTCGTGCGTTCTCCTCGTTCCCCTCCGAGGCATGACGGGCAAGCAGGAGACGCTTTTCTTGAAGCATGACACGGACAAGGATGGGTCCCTCTCCCCCGACGAGCTGCAGGTAATGGAGCTGTGAGCGCTCCTGTCTCAGCTGCTCGCAGTCTCTCTTCGATCCGACTCCTGGCATTCCATGGGACGACGCCAAGCAAGTGGTGAGTGGAGGCTCGTGCTTGTGAGAAATCTGAGTGGCTCCTTCAGACCAGCACCGACAAGAGAGGACAGATAGGTAGGACTGCAGCCTTAGCCCCTACGGCTCTCACCTCCTTGCAGACCTCAAGGGCTTCATCGCTCAGTGGGTGGCCTGCTGCTACCTCAACCCGCTTGGCTGCATGGAGTCGCTCGTCTATTTGGGTGCCGCCAACAAATGCAAGCTGACGCAAGTGACGCTTGACAGGTTTCCGGGGGGGGAAAGAGAGCAGTGTAGAGGGAGCAATCGCAGTTTCACAGAGAAGGTCTTGTTTGTCTTTATTACTTTCCTCCCTCCTCCTGCTTCCGCCGCATTGCTCGCCCCCACCTTGTTCTTATCCCTTTTCTAGGTCTGTGGAACACCTACAAGGGACGAGGACGCGGACAGTTTTCAGAATCACGTTGCTCGGGGTCGGGGGGGTCGATCCGTTCGTGTTTGCTCGCTCTCTGCTTCCTCGAAACGTCCAAGAAGGAGGCAGCGATGAGCAGCTGGGCAAGGAAAGTCTCAGCCCGCTCGTCATCTCGAAAGTAGCGGCGACAACTGACTTTCACTTGATCGTCGAGAGTGTGAGCCTCATGAACGAGCATGATGTGAGCAAAGTCAAAGGTAGAGATGAAGAGATTCAACGACAGAGAGATCGCTGACTTGCCGAGCGATATGAAGATGTGGAACGTGACGGGAAGGGAAGCGACTGCATTGTCATCTTTTATCCCAGCCAAGTTCAGAGTTCATTCTCTCTTGCATGGGTCACACGTTCTTTGCGCTCTCTATCCCTTGACAGACCTTCAGGACGCTTACGCCCAGTTGTCAAGAGTGAACGAGGGAAGTCCGATCCTGTTTGCAGAAGTCAACAACAAGACATCCGAAGAAGTGGATGACATCGCGATTCAGTCTCCCTCGGAAACTTGTGCACAACATCACCTGCCGCTTCCCCTCCAGCTCTCGCATGACGGTCTGTTTGCCTCGATACCTTGTCATACTCATTCTCGAGCAGGAGAAGGCGATCAAGACTTGTCACCCTTGTGGAGTTCGGTGGTTGAAGCTTGTCTGCAGCCGCACAAGTCTTCTCCAGTGCTTGCAGAGAGGAAGAGAAAGGTCCCTGCACTGACGCGGTTCTTGTCTTTGACCTTCCTCCCTTTAGCGCTCCATGTGGAAGCGACTCGGTCAGATCTCCTGCTACTCCGCCCTCGTCCTCGCGGGTCTGCCGGCCTCTTGTGATGCTCTGTTGTGACCTCAAGTCGCCCAGGCCTGGCCGTCGCCTTGTCACGCGCGAGGTCTCTCAAGGGTTGAACTGAAAACTCCTCTCGTCACCCGCCGGCATGCGTACACCTCCATGCTGACAAGAGAGCGAGGGACAGGAACAGACGCCAGTCCACGACCTGCTGCAATCCCATCACATCTAGCTCGCTCACTCACAGGTTGTACCTCAAGACTCACTTCCCCAACACGAGGAAGCATTCTTGCAAGACTAACATCGCGGACGCTTTTGCGATGAGATCTCGTGTCGCTGACTGTGAGGGACCATACTTGTGGGTTGACATCTGACAGCCAGTGAAAACTCTCAAACATGCCTTGCACCCTTGGAACATCTTGTTCACTCACAAGCATCTTCGACAAGTCGAAATCCAATGGAGATAATCCTTTACATGCAGGCAATCATGGTTCAGGGAGGGATCGGCTTCATTTGCTGCTTGTGAAATCAATGAAAATATAAGCCTGCAGCAAAACATATCTTCCGAGTCTTACTGTTCACACGGAGATGATGATATCGCTTTGCACCATTTCTAGCATACTTAGTTTGAGGCGGAACACTTGTTGCCGAACGCGTTGTTGGTCATCAGATCGCCTGGTACTAGATGGCTTCAGCAACAAGCGGCGACGTGTCACGCAGACACTACTGGTCTTCAGCCCCACGGCATGGCAGCCGTCAAGCCTCTTTCTGATTGACTATATCTATTTTTCTCTTGATGGATCGGCATGCCCGGTTAGCTCAGTCGGCAGAGCGCAAGGCTCTTAACCTTGTGGTCGTGGGTTCGAGCCCCACATCGGGCGAAGCTCCGACTGAATTTTTTGTTGGACTCCAATATGAGTACCGCTGAATCGTTTAAAAGGATAGTCTTTAGCTTTAACTTAACTTTGAGTGAAGCCTCTAATGATTCTTTTTCTTTCTTTTTTGACTCCGGGCAGACCGTGAGACGCCGGTGGTGACCGTCGGACTCTCAGTGACGGGCCGGGCCGCGGCCACTCACTGCGCCGGCCGCCGGCGGGATGTCGGATTGAGTCCACGGTACTGAGTTGAGTAAAAACTTGGAAAGAGAGGGAAATGTGAATGGGAGGGGAAGAGCGGCGGGAGGGGAGAGGGGAGAGGGGAGAGGGGAGAGGGGAGAGGGGAGAGGGGAGAGGGGAGAGGGGAGAGGGGAGAAGGCGGGGAGGGGAGGAAATGATGGGGAATTAGAAAGGAGTCGGAAACGAGGAGAATGATGCAAGCCAAGAATTTCTTTTTCTCAACGCAAGGGACAGGAAGTAGGATAAAGTACTGGCAAACAAGGGAATAGCAGACAAGAATTGCTTTGAAATGGGAAGAAAGAGCGAGTTTGTTGCGATAGGCTGATGTAAAAAGAGAAGATTTCACTTGTTGTCAGTCAAACCAAGAGGCGCTTCTAGACCTTGCTGTGACATCACATTGCTGGCAGCTCATTCCGTGCCTGGGGTGTGAATGACGGACACACTGTAACATCATCCGCTGCTGATGGAGGTTGGTCATTCGCTAAGTTGGCCGAAACCAAGATGGATAATACTGGGGATCTTGCTATCTGCAGCTGCCATCTTCGGGGTATACGAGATGACGAAAGCTCTCAACAATTCATGAACGGCCAAGTCCCTTGTCCGAGACATGACCGTTCTGTGGTGAAGACAAAATAACAACTGGCTGTCAACTCCTGAGAGGATGTGCTTTGGATGGCTTGTTCATTCACCGGGCAGGATTTCATGTCTGCCATGTGCAGACAGGTATTCTTGGTGCTGAATGTGGGGCTGGTCTTGTCGTCTAATCCACCCTCATTTTCCAAGAGAGCTCGCGTCTGCGAATGGCATTCGTGCATGAAGCGGCCGAGCTATGGTCCTGAAGGTGGTCCTGCCGTCGCTTGCTCATCGCATCGTCTGGAGCACTACGTGGATGTCATCAATGTAAGGTGCTCCTATGCCGGCAGTTGCTCGAAGCGAGCTTACTTCGGAGGCGAGGACTGCGGGTGGAGGCCCACCTTCTGCGGGAGTCACCGACGCGCCTCTGACGTGAACGTTGTGGTTCGGGCAAGCAATCACACTCAGAGAGAGATCAGGTCCTGTAACTGCTCGCAGCGGCAGCAGCTGTGCGAGTGGACGGGATTGGACGGTCATTCTTGCTGGCGAAGCGCTCGGTATGCGCATACGGGGGGAAGACCCGAGCGATGCAGCATCCATAGGGAGGAAGGGATGGTGCCTTTCCCGCCTACCTGCACCAGAACAGGATGCAAGCGAAAAGCTATTTTCGCTACCAATGAAGGATCGACCCCCACCGCTTGCTCGCTGCATCGCAAGGCAGGGGACATTGATCTCGTGCGGCTGACGTGCGTGGTGCAAGGATGCAACCTGTCGGCTTCCTTCGGCAAGTGGTGAGTGATGAAATGTTTGAGCGAGAGGTAGCTTCACTGACGTAGACTCAGCAAGTTCCACCCGCTGCATTGCTCGCTCCATCGGGACTACCATGAGCGAGACTTGAGGCATGGCTGCTGCTCGCACACAGGTTGCTTCAGGTCTCCCACCTACGGCAGCTTGTTCGAGCGACCGCAGCGATGTGCATGCCACAGGACGAAGGAGGACCTGAGCATGGCGCAGCACAAGTCCATTCTCTCCTCGTGGGTTGAGACCTTCAACCTGCCCAACACACCCATGAAGAGAAGATGCGGAACCAAACACGACCAAGTCCCTTGTGAGGAAGCTCAAAAGGTACTCCTCCTCCTTCTCCCCCTCCTCCTCCTTCTCCTCCCATCCTCATCCCGCTAAGGAAAATCGAATTCCCCTCGCCGGGCCCTCTTCCCTCAGCCGACTCACTCATTTTCAGGCAAGTGGAAGTGAAAATGAACTGCACAAGCCGCGGGGTCTAAGCAAGGTAGCGAGGAGGGGAGGGGGAAGGGGGAGGGGGTAGGAGAATTTCCGTTTCCCACTCATGCCCGTGGCAGCTCATTGCTCGCTACCCCAACGTGGCTCCTGAGACTCTGAGGAGCATGCTTTGTGTGTGGCCCTCCATGTACCAGCAGGCAGAGGCTTCTCCTCTCGTCGTCTCCTCCAAGTCTCTGGGCCATCGCCCGATGAAGATTGAAATCCGTAGGAACTACACCTCCTCCTCTTTCTCGACATCTTCCAGCTAACCTTGTATGTCATGAACCCTTTAAAGTGAATTGCCCATCCTCTCAGCTCGTTGGCGTCACCTCGGCGTTCCCTGCAGGAGGCTCAGCCCCTCCTGCGCCCATCGCAGCCCCTCATGCAGCCCGCCGCCTGTCGCCTCCCGGGGCTCCTGACCCTGCAGGAGGGGTGAGGAGAGGAGAGAGGGAGAGGAGGCACCTCAAGGAAGGCCACGAACATGCTGAGCTGACCAGGCAGCACCTCCATGCGAAGCGACTTGCCGTCTAACACCTGAGAGACGCGACACTTGAGACGATGATCAAGAAGGAGTTAGGAAGGAGGAGGAGGAGGAGGAGGAGGAGGATGAGGAGGAGGAGGGGGGTGCTTGCAGATCAAGAGGCAGAGGAGCTTGTGGTGGAGGGGCAGAAGGTTTGATCAGACGCCTCACCAACACGAAAGAGCCACTCCACTTGACCTCAACTAGTTGCTAGAGACAACCAAGGAGTCAAACGAGTCACACGGTCAGTCCGGGCCCTCCTTCCTTCATCAGCCCTTCTCCCTCCCCACCTCGTTCCTCGCTTTCTTCTCTTCTTCACAGACGGGACAAGAGGCGGCAAAAGCGCAGGAGCCATGCTTCTTGGTATAGCTCTCTGCTACTAGTCAGCCAAAGAAGAACAAGGCAGGGACAGAAATCAGAACTATGAAGAAGCAACTGAAGATCCAAACAACGTTGGGCACAAGGGGATGGAAGGGTAGAACAGAAGCTGAGGATGGACGATGCATAGAAATAAGGTGGAAGAATGAAGGGGAGGGAAGAAAGGAGGAGGATGGAGGGGGGAGGAGCAAGAGGGAGGAGGAGGAGGTAAATGGATTTAGAGGATGGGGACAGAGTGAAGAATTGCTTGCCTGTGTCGCGCAGGCCAGTAATGAGCAATTCTCCCTTACAGCCCTTGAGGTTCATGAAGCTCTGGTGCCTTTAGGTCAGTACCAAGGGGTCAGACCCTTGCGTCCTCACCTTAAGGCCGCTAACGAGATATCGAGCAGGTCCGTACGTGGCCCTCAGAGCCTCTGAGTCCTCGGCAAGTTTGCCACCCAGGCCCCAGCCGACGCCGCAGAGGGAGAAGAGCTCGCGGCGGCTCTGCGAGATGCGGATGAGGTCGACGGGCCGCACGCGATGGCCCTTGAGGATGGTCCAGGTCGCCGCCAGGGGGGTCACGAAGCTCATCATCTTGGCGAGGGCGCACTCAGAGCCGGCGGGGATGGTGCCCAGCACAAGCCTGCGCATCAGCTCGTCGCGATCCGGCCGGCTCATGATGCCGTTGACGACCTCAGAGATGGTCCCGTCACCTCCGATGCAGACGATGACGTCGAGGACGGAGAGGTCGAGGGAGCCGTGAGGTCCCACGAGGTCGTACGCGTGCCTTGCTCGCTCCGTCAGAGTCACCGAGTAGTCCAGCTCTGTGCACGCGAAGATCTCCTCCACCCTCTCCCAGTACGCTTTGCCTTGCCTGTGCCCCGAGACTGGGTTGACGATGATGTGAACGCGCGATCGCCCGGAGAGGAGGGGCGAGGCCTCTGCCATCCTCCTAATCGCATCTCTACACTCCTGTGCCGCTCGACGTCGAGAGTGATGGGAGGAGCGAAACTCGAAGAGCTTGTAGCGGCGGTAGAAGCTCTCACCGTCGGGGGAGCAGGGGAAGGGCGTGGTGAGGACATGGAGGTCCAGGCAGTCTCCTTCCTTGGAGGCGAAGTCACAGGCAATGACGTTGACCGATGCGATGCTCTCCTTCCCGAGGAACGCTTCCCCCAGCGGGTCCTTGCCGATGAACGCCTCCACGTGGTTCCACTTGAGCGTGAGTGACTCCTTCCCCACGGCTACCGACGCCTCGTGCTGCGGGCGGTTGGGTCGGAGAATCTGCCGGCACGTCAGACAAGAGCCTCACGTCCTCCATGCGCCTACCTGACACTGCCAGGACCCCAAAAGCGCGCTGACGCCCGGGTTCCCTCCCGGAGCTCCTCGCCGTCGTCGTCGAGATCTGCCATCCCTGCCGTCTGCAGGTAGTAGGGGCGAGGCATCGCTGACATGGCGGGTGAGGTCTGGCTCTTGAAGCTCGTCAGTGTGCAAGGTCAAGGAGTCCGAGCGAAGGAGCGCGAGGGAGCTCAGAACTTGGTCAAGGGCGATGCTGACCGACTCGTTGCGAACCATCCTCGACCTCCTCCAGAGCTGCTCCATGCTCTCAACCACATCCCTCTCAGCTTCCACCGCCATCGGCACAGGTGGCTTCGGCAGCTCAGCCGGGAATGAGGGGACTGGTTGATCGGCAGAAAGACTTTCATGCCCCACGTCCGTCATGACCTGCCTATCCATGGGATGGCATCTGACCCGCTCAGACCTCGCTCATGTTGATGATTTTGTTGTCCTCCACCCCCTCCCCTCATGCATGAGTTGAGTCTGTTGGGTGTTCTTGTCACCTCAAAGCATGGCTTCTGTCTGCCTGCAATTCAGTCACTGCTCCTGCTCTCTTCTCCTCCTCCTCTCTCGTCCTCTTCTTCCTCCCCCCTCTCCTCCTCCTCCTCACTTCGTCTCCTCCTCCCCCCTTCTCCTCCTCTCCCCTATCTTCGCATCCTCCTCCTCTCTCCTCCTCTCCCCCCGCCTCCTCCTCCTCTCTTCTCCTTCCTTCTCCTTCCTTCTCCTCCTCTCTCCTCTCTCTCTCTCTTCCCTTCTCCTCTTCTTCGCCTCGCCTCGCCTCGCCATCCCCATACTTTCCGTCTGCACCCAGTCATCTTACCAATCATGTATGTCATTTGAAACATTCTGGTAAAATTTAAAAACATAATGTAAGATTCTGAAACAGTGTTGGGGAAAGGGAAGGGTCGCCATGCAGGCGAAGACGCTGCTGGCCTGGTTGGCGATCATCCAGGTGAGTCCATGGCAGGCAAGCGAAGCCATGCACACACGTCGCTTGCTCCGCGACCATGGCGGGCTGTTGCATACCCTCATGCCGAGTCTGGTCACGGTGCGACGCGATGGCAGTGCTGTTCCCTGAGAGTCAAAACTTGCCATCACTGCGACGCGACCAAGGACGAGTAGACGATGACGATGACGATGACGATGACGATGACGATGACGATGACGATGACGATGACGATGACGATGACGATGACGATGACGATGATAAAGGAGAATGAGAATGAGCGGAAGGAGGAGTGGGAGGTTGTAGGTGGGGGAGAAACGGTTTGAAGTTCAAAGGGTTTGAGTGGTCCAAATGAAGCTACTTATAGAAAGAGGGACTAGAATAGAAATTCAGTTTGTCCGTTCTCCACAATGACTCATGCACTTCCGCAGATTTGTTTGGTGTTGCTCAATTTCACACTGGCAGCCTTTGTCATTTACATAACCCTGCCATTCGCCTTCCTCGCATTGGTTTCCGTCTACATAGCCATCTACTGCCGATGGAAGACAGGCATTTATATCTTCATCTTCGGTTGCACTTGCATCCTTGTGAGCTTGAGCTCGGCATGCGCGGGCGTTGACTTCTCGCAGTTGTACGGGGCGTTCATGTTGTTTTGGATCATATCACGGGGACAAGCGTCATCGCATCCCTTGGACATCACCTGGTACAGTCTGCAAGTTTTGGCAGAGGTGAGGAGCATCTCAGTAGTCTAGCTGACACTGACGGTCCCTGCTCTAGTTCTTCTGTATCATTGTAGCCTTGTGGGTACTGTGGGAGGTGAGGGAGGAGGTTGGCGCAATGTGCTGGAACTGACGCATCCCGAACAGATCAGCTCAGAATCGAGCAAGAAGAAAGACAAGGGCGAATCCCAAAGCTTGCTCGGCAAATAGACCTCCATCTCCTTCCTTTATTCCTATTAATGTGACGGCAAAATCCGTCTATTTGCTTCAAATAATTTTCAGAGCGCAACAACGCGGTACGAGGATTGGGTCAGCTTATGCTGGGCAGAATTTGTAGCTGAAGCGAATGACTTGAGACTGCTCATAAACTAAGGGGCAACATTCAGCTATCTCCATCTTAGTTCTGCTACTTGCGATCCTTTACCCTGACGCATGAACTATCCAAAGTAACCAGAGTAGGAGGATCGGACGCGAGAATTCGCAGCTGCCGCTGAGTCAGAGAGGTTGCAGAGGTATCGATTCTACCTCATAAGTAGACCCTCCGTCCTTGGAATCCACCACTTCCCCTCGAACCCATTTGCCACCTTGCAGGATTTCTACCTGTGTGCCCGCCACCAACGAACCCTGTATGAATTCATGTCAGGATTGAACAACAACCCACTTTACGTCTTGCCGGCTTCGAAACGCCATCAGCTTCTCCTGCGTCTACATCATCCCAAGAGCAGAGGCAACAAGTCGCTGTACCTGACTTCACTGCCTCGAAATGCTTCACAAGGACTTCCCGAGCGTGCTCAGGGAGAAGCGCGAGATCGCCCATGACTTCCGGGCTGCGCCAAACCTGCGCCATGTATCACTTTGCGCATCTATAGCGCTATGCACAGCCCGTACCTTTATGGCATCTTCCAATTCTTCAGGATGCGGCTCCTTCTGGATCTGTTGTTGCCATTCGGGTTATCGACTTGTCTGAGTGCTTCACTGGTTTAACGTACTTGGGAATCGTCGAATCCTGGAGGCAGCAGAGCCCCATATTGTATCAGCAAATCGACAGATTCTTCAAATCCTATGTCAACAGCAACTTGTATGTCCTGCGAAGATAGTGGTTTTCAGCCACAGAACTGATGATTATAGAGAAACTTACGTATGCGATGGATGCTGGACGTTCCTTTTCCTTGAACCTGAGAAGTTGGGTCACTCCCGCGTGACTGCGTTGAATGGAGATTCTTACACATTGAATTGAAGATCGGGCAACATGCCTCGGCTCAACAGCCGCTTCAGGCAATCCAAGGACTTCGTTCGCAAACAAAGTTGCAGACAAGTAGGAGAGTCAGGCTGCGTTGTGAACATAGTCGTGTCGTTGATGAAAAACTTCTCTCCTGCACTTTCTTGTGCAATAGATGAAGAACAAGTGGAGTGTTGAAGAACACCTTCAATCTTCTTTTCTATCCATTCCGATGCGTTATGAACAGTTCGATCTTCAACAATGTCTGCTAGCACTGTTTGAAGGCATATGTTACCAACGGGCGAAGTGAGACCAACACCCTTTCTGATAAATGTTTGCAACAAGGAGGTACTCCCAGTATCCACTACTTTTCCAAGTGTCTTTGCTGCTGTATTTGAGGATGCATTGAGGTTTGCGCCATGCTCGAGAAAAAGTTTTGCAATTACTTCAGTCTGTTCCATCGTCAAATCATTCTCCAATTGTCTATCAAGAACAAAGTTGAGCGCTGTGCAGCAATATGGATTTGGCAAGACATCAGAACCCTTGATTTCTCCTGAGGCAATCATTGTTTGAATCTTAGGAAAATCACGCTTGAGGTATAAATCCACAAATTGATCTGTATACTGCGAAGACTGTAAGTGCCTGCAATACTTTGTCAGCTGGAAAATTGCTAGCCAACAAGACATACTCCTCGGATTGACCATCTATTTTTCGCTTTTTTGCCGTTGCTTCAACACTCTTCAACGAGCGCTTTACTCGGGACTGCAAGCGAAGCATCGGGTCTGAACGAATCATCTTCCGTTGAAGCTTTGCATACTTGTCTCCAGAAATTCCAGTTGATGGAAATTGAACAATTCGTGCTGTGCTGTTCCTGGACCTTGAGTGGCTCCCTGTAATGAAAGCAACATGAATGAAATATCAAAATTTATATCAAAAAATCTTACTTGATCTCGGCGTGGAATTGCGAAGACCTTGGTTGAGCGCAGAGTTACTGTTCTCATTTTCTGATTCGTTCGAACCCAATTTGCCTTCCTGCATCTTGACGCCAGAAGTCGAGTCCTCCAGGAGAACAGCAAAAGCTTTGAGTGCTGGCACATTGCCGCTCGCACCATTGTCGTTTTCTGAAACAGTAGATCCATCTGGCACCGTCCCCTGCTTTTTGGTTTTCTTAGAGACTTTGTCTGTGTCTTCATCACCCTCATTTGGGGCATCGTCATCATTTCCTTGTTCCTGAGGAGGAGGAGGAGGAGGCAAGTCCGTTGAGTTCGGATCAGCCTTTGCAGCAGGAGAGCGACTGTCAGCGTTTCCTTTCTTTTGCGAGGAAGGGGTTCTTGCAGTTCTAGCTCCGCTGGACGTCTTGCGATCTTCGCACGCTCGATTCACTCGAGCACACCGAGAACAAGGACGGTTGCCATCACATCGCATCTTCATTCGTGAGCAGGCTGCACATGCATAGGCAACTCCAGACTTGGGGGTTTTCTTGCCTTCAGAATTCGGTTCGGCAGGTTTTGCTTGGGCAGGAGTCGAGGTCTCCTCATTTCCGCCGCTTTTCCCCGGAGTTGCAGTAACATGGGTACCATCATTCGATTGATTGCCGTTGGCTACGACATGGTTCTGCCCCGATGAATTTTGATCTTCTGACTCCGATGGAATACCGAAAGGAAGGAAAATGCTGAATTGTGGTTTAGTCGCACCAGGCGAATTTTGGAGATCAGCTTCAGTATCTAGGTTCATTGCAGTGTCAGCACCACTGTTTTTCCCTGTGTTGTTGTCGTTTTCGGCGCTTCCATCATCGGCTGCGACAGGCGGGGGCGGGGGCAGTGTTGACTTGGAGCTCATTCTTACCGATGTCCTGGTCCAGAACAATGAGTGAGAGCAGAAACAGAAAGTTGTCTCGCGATTGAAAGGATGATGATAGGAGAACAAGCGCAAAAATCTCTCATGCAGCGATGAAGGCCATCAGCTGAATTCCTACTTGCCTTGTGGACGGCTGGTCCAGCCCGTTACAGCTTCACACACAAGGCTGAGAGCAGCGAATCCTTCTTGCTCAGAAGCTGATGATTCACCAGGAGAAAGTATCCACAAGAAGAGCTACAGGAGGACCAAGACGCGCGATATTGCAGCTCTTGATGAATGGCAATGGACCGGCGCTGCAGAGGCTGGGAGGGATGCGAAGCAGAGAGAACAAGGCAAGTGAGAAGGGGCCTGACAAGTAGGAGGAGGGAGCAGAGAGGAGGGAGAAGTAGGAGGAGGGAGCCTTGTAGGAGGAAGAGGAGGGAGTACCGCTTGCTCTCTCAGCTCTTATGCTTCTTGCTCAAGCCGCGGTCGTCCCCTGAGCATTCCCTGGTTTGTGGTCCTGGAATTTCGAATGGGGGTCGAATCCCAGCCGTTCAAAATTGTGTTTGAATCATTTCGACAATGTCCCTAGATTTGTGAATCTCACTTCTCCTCTTAATTTGAAATGGTTCATAATTTGGAGCATTTGCTTTCAAACAATTCATGTATCCCTCACCCCATCGAGACCCAGTCTTCCACTACCCCTTCACCTCACCCCATCAACTCCCTCTGATTCGAATCATGCCGGGGGTGAGGGTAGCCTCAAACCCCACCCCCCTTCACTACAAGAATCATGACTAGTCTCCACCCGTCCTCATTCATGGCCGGTACCAACAGAGTTGTGGTACCCTACCGTTTTCCTAGCATTTCTGAAGATAAAATATTTTAATATTCAAATTTGAATAAAATGTTCAACTCCAATCTTCATATTACATTTTTCCCCAGGAGAAATGTTCAAAATTTGAGGGCTCAGAGGAAGATGTCCATTTTCCTTCGTGGTCCAAGGGGGGGGTGGGGGTCCTGTTGATCGTTGGGGGTAGTTTTCAAACAGGTTCGCCTCAGAGCTTCAATCTCGTGGAATTTTAGCGAGGCGAGCCCGAAAATGACTGGGTAGAGGCGGGCCCACCTCATCTTACATCTAAATGGAAGCCTCCCGACCGATACTAATTATTTTCAGGTCTGCCTCAGAACTAGGATAATAACTTAGTGGAGGCACCAATCTTACCTAGTGAGAGCCTCCACTCAATGAAATGTGCAAGCCTCGACGCGTTGAGGGGTTGTAGAGGCTATTCAGAAGGGGTGGGGGTGTTCAAACTGTGTGGGTGGGTCATTTCAAAAGTATAATTGGTGGGTGTATTTGTAGGAAAAGAGCCAGGTAGGGGTGTATCATAGAATGGGTCAGGGTACTTCAGCATCCGGGGTAGGGGTACTCAGTTGTTCCCCTTCTCTTCCCCTTGTTTCCCCGCTGTCGGCTATGAGATGGAGTCAACAGCAGCAGACTCAGTCTCCTCTCCTCTCCTCTCCTCTCCTCTCTCCTCTCCTCTCCTTCTACTCTCCTCTCCTCTCTCCTCTCCTCTCTCCTCCACTTCTTTATCAACCATTTCACCTACGCTGCATTCATTTCGCTCCCGTATCACCCCGCTCCTTCTGATGTTTCCTGCCTGCCTGCCTTTTCTCCAGCCTCCTATTCCTCGCGTATACCTATAACAACAAGATCACTTAAATGTAGAGCATTTCTCGTTTCTCGATCGTGCAATACCTCGAACCTTTTCCCATTCATATTACGTCATGCCTATCTTTGTTATGTCCCCCTTTACCACATTTCTACATGTTTCGAATTGTTCCTGCAACGACCCGAAAGTTTTTGGTCTGATTTGACGTTTTCTTTTCCAGCTGAGCATTGTGTTGAAACAATCTTTTCAGGAGCTTGTGAGCCTAGTGTAGGACTTGCGGCTTCCTCGAGAGAATGTCGAACTACTTCAAGGACCAGGGAAAACGCGGTGAGAATGCAGAGCTGCAAGAAGAGCTTGCTTCTACAGATAAGAACAAGAAACGCGATGCTGTGAAGAAGGTGATCAGAGACATGACCCTTGGCAAGGATGTCGCCGGCCTGTTCACTGCTGTTGTGAACTGCATGATGACACCTAATCTTGAAGTTCGCAAGCTCGTGTACTTGTACTTGATCAACTATGCTAAGACTCAGCCTGACCTTGCCATCATGGCTGTCAATGGCTTTGTTAAGGACTGTGGAGACCCTAACCCGATCATCCGCGCGTTGGCAGTTCGAACTATGGGATGCATTCGAGTACAGCAGATCAGTGAATACCTCTGCGAGCCTCTCCGGCGAGCGTTGAAAGACAGTGACCCCTACGTGCGCAAGACTGCCGCCATCTGCGTCGCCAAACTCTACGAGATTTCCCCAGACCTTGTGACAGACCAAGGCTTCATCGACACTCTGGTGATGCAGTGTGTTGTGTTGTGTTGTGTTGTGTTGTGTGGTGTTGTGGTGTGGTGTGATCATGTTGATGCTGACCTCGTTCACTTAGAACGACATGCTTGGAGATGGTAATCCCATGGTGGTGTCGAATGCTGTCGCTGCCCTGGCTGAGATCAGCGTTCGCGGAACTCCTAAAGCGCTTGTGCTGAAGAATTCTACGGTGACGAAGCTTCTGAATGTCTTGAACGAGGTACGACATGTGCTTCTTGGTATCGAATACGGCTGAGATCATGCTCGAGTGTTCGGAATGGGGTCAAGTCTTCATCTTGGATGTTCTCTCGTCTTACACGCCATCGGACAAGACTGAGGTGAACCACCGATCGCACTCCTCGTGGTGTTAATGTGCTGGGCAGGCTGTTAACATCCTTGAGCGGGTGAAGCCAAGGTTGCAGCACGCGAACAGCGCGGTATTCCAAGGATGAATATTGTGTGTAGTCGCCTGACAGGCAGCTTCCAGGTGGTGCTCAGCACAACCAAGGTGATAGTGAAGCTTTTGGACATCGTGACAGACAGCGAAGTTGTACGAACATACGTGAAGGCTCTCGGACCTCCTCTTGTGACGCTCATGTCCAATGAAGCTGAGATCCAGTATGTTGCCTTGAGGAATATCATCCTGATCTGCCAGAAACGTCCGTCGGTGCTATCAAACGAAGTGAAGGTCTTCTTCTGCAAGTACAACGATCCGATTTATGTGAAGATGGAGAAGCTCGACGTTCTGGTGATGTTAGCCAATGAGAACAACATTGAACAAGTTCTTATGGAGTTCATGGAGTACGCCACTGAAATCGATTGTGAGTTCGTTTGCAAAGCAGTTCGCTGCATTGGGCGTTGTGCCATCAAACTTCAAGGAGCAGCAGAACGATGCGTCAACGTGCTCGTCACTTTGATTCAGACCAAAGTGAACTACGTGGTACAAGAAGCGATCATTGTGATCCGAGACATCTTTCGCAAGTACCCCAACAAGTACGAGAGCGTCATTGGCACTCTCTGTGAGAACTTGGACACGCTGGACAACTCTGAGGCCAAGGCCAGCATGGTCTGGATCATCGGCGAGTATGCTGAGCGAATTGACAACGCGGGCGAGTTGCTCGACGGTTTCCTCGAGAGTTTCTCGGAAGAGACGACGGCAGTGCAGCTTCAGCTTCTCACTGCGACTGTGAAGCTCTTCTTGAAACGCCCGCAGATCGCGCAAGAGATGGTTAAGCGCGTGCTCGCGCTTGTCACTCATGAGTCGGACAACCCAGACGTGCGAGACCGCGGGTACATGTACTGGCGTCTGCTCTCCACCAACCCTGAGGCAGCCAAGGCGATTGTCCTGGCAGGTGCGTGAGAGGCGAGAGAGGAGATGGAGGGGGATGACAAGGGAGCGAGCTGAGGGCAAAAGAGTCGCATGCTGAGGTTGGGGAGGGGGGAATAGGAGGGGAAGGGATGTGAGGAGGACTCGTACGTCTGACGTCTGACGGCAGACAAGCCAACTATTGAAGACGACACGAACCTGATCGAAGCTGCTCTCCTCGAAGATCTCATCGGGAATCTCTCCAACCTCGCTTCCGTCTACCACAAGCGCCCGACGGCCTTCATCGACCGCAAGAAGGCCAACGACAGCATGGATGACTACGAGGAAGCTGAAGAGCCTGACAGCGCGCAAGCGACGGCGAGTGAGACGAGGGCACAAGGTCCAAGTGCCTTGCGAGCGTTGGGGAGGCTGACGTGGTTTCAGAGCATCCGCAAGGCTCGAGGGAGCAAGAGTCGGCTAAGGCTCCTGTGGTTGACATGCTGATGCTGGACGACCCCGTGGCACCTGCCACTCAAGCAGTGCGAGAGACCAAGCTTGACGACCTCTTGAGCCTGGACGCGCCTGCTCCTACTCAGAGCGCGCGGTCTCAGGGAGCTGACCTGCTCGACATGCTTGGCGGGCCATCGCCTGCCCCCGCCTCCTCGGGTCAGCTTCCGGTGCTGCTGATTGTTTTGCAAGAGAGGAGAGTGAAGTTGATGTAGACGCTGCTGGCGGCGGACAAGGGCAACGGGATGGAAATGCATGGCGCCATCAAGCAAGTCAACGGACAGGTGGAGGAGCCTTGCGAGTGTCTCGCTCACGTGGATGCAGCTGGGGTACGAGCTCGAGTTCAAGAACGTCTCGTCGACCGTGTTGAACGGCATCAACTTTCAGGTGACGTCACCAGCTGTAAAACCTCGCTGAGCGACCGGCAGATGAACAAGAACCTTGTTGGTCTTGCCCTCAAGGCGCCTCTACAGACCCCCGACGTCCCTCCCGGCGGGTCTCACCGGGTCACCGTCGCGCTCGCCTCCGACCCCTCCAAGATCGAAGTCAAGCCGCATGCCGGCAACGCGGGTGGCAACGTCGTGCAGCTGGCGGTCAAGAGCAACTTGGGAGTCTTCTACCTCACTGACAGCATCGAGCTTGCGGCCATGACGACGCCCGGCTTCTCTCTTGCCCCCAACGTCTACATGTCCACCTGGCAGAACCTCCCGGCTGAGAACCAAACGGTCGCACTCCTCCATCTCCTCGCCCTCACCTGCTCCTCCTTTGCTGTTCCTCCCTCTTGTGATGCCCCTGCAGGTCAAAGACCTTTCGGGTTTCCCGATGAACAATCCCAATGCCATCGAACAAGCACTGCAGGTCAGCATGGGGAGGAGGGGGAGAGGCAGGTTCTAATGAACTTGTTGAGCAGGGAGCGCATCTCTTCCTCGTCAACAAGAAAGCAGGGGCAGGACCAACTTCTCTCTACCTCGCAGGCAAGACCGTGGCGAACCAAGGCTTCCTCCTTGAGCTGCAGGTACTGTCTGCCCCTGCACCTCCTCGCTTCCTCCTCCTTTCGTCCCTTCACTCTTGTCATTCCTCGCTCCTTTTCTTCATCTCTGTCTACCCCCTACCTTGCTTTCGCTCATTCTCGTTTCGCTCAGATTCTTCCTACCGCGTGTCGCGTCACCATCAAGTAAGAGCTTGTCCTCCTCCTCCTCCTCCTCCTCCTCCTCCTCCTCTCTTCTCTGCCACCACATACTGCTCGTCTGTCGTCTCTCATCGCTCTCGTCGCGTGCAGGTCAAACGTCGCGGGGCTTGCGGGCATCATTGCGGAGGCAGTGGAGAGCTGCTTGAGGAAAGCTCTCGTGAGTGTGCGGGAGGAGGAGGGAGGTGACGGCACTGAGAGAGTGGCAGGGGGGAGGAGGCGGGCAGGGAGTCGCGTTGCATGCCGCCACCATGCCTGCTATGGGAGGGATGGGCATGTCGATGCAGCAGGCGCCTCCTGCGGCAGCGTCGAAGCCTGTGCGGAGACACGAGAATTCCGTATCATCACTGACGTCAGTCGCAGGTGGACCTGCTGGCGGATCTGTTCTGATCGAAGTTTTACGCCCGAGCAATAAATTTTCTCATCCTCTTCATCTGGTTGACTCGGTTCTGCTCGAGCTTCTCGTCATCCTCCTTCCTCCCTCACAAGCTCCGACCACTCGTCTACTTCATCCCATCCCTCCTCCGTCCTTCTCCTCTCACTCCGCCTGACCTCCAGCTCGTACGCCTGGTGGAAGACCTCAAAGTTGATCGCCTGCTGCTGCGAGTCGAAGACTGGTAGCAGCATCCCCATCATCAGCTGTTTGCTCTGCTGCTCGTTGGCCAGCGCTCGCATCCTGCAGGAAGGGTTTCTCAGCTCGACGGACCAGGCGACATGGAGGAGGAGAGCGAAGGAGACGAGAGCGGTCCAGGTAAGCCAGTGCTTGTTGCTGTCAGAGGGGTGGACAGCCCAGCGGTATTGTGGCAGGGAGCTGTTATAGCGGAGCACGCCATGGTCGAGGAAGCAGACGAACTGGACGGGGCAGGAGGGTTTGCCGAGGACGGTCTCGCTGACGCTTCGGTTGGACACGAAGATCAAGACGGTGGGAATGAGGAGGTTGGAGATGACGGTGACCGCGAGGAGAAAGGTGGCGAAGGAGCGGAGGCCCCGCGACCTCTTCGCGACAGGGCGTTGAGCCTTGTGGAGTAGGAAGCGAAGGTCCAGCTGAAACTTGACGGCGAGGATGAGGATGAGGACGGCGAGGCTGGCTGGTGCTGTCATGCCGAAGCACAAGACGATGGCGAGAGGGACGGCGAGAAAGTGATAGCCCAGCTCGACCCCAGCAAACTTGGGAAGCTGAACCTCCTCGTCCGCCTGCCCTCGACTCGACATGACGATGTTGCGGCGCTGGCGGGGGCCGGAGGGCTGAGGCGGGCCCTGCTTGCCCCTCCTCTTCCTCATGAGCGCGAAGAGATCGTCGGAAGCCAACAGCTGGGAGAGGTTCAGCCGCCTCGCCCTCCTCCCCACCGCCTGCAGCAGCTCCAGCACCACGACCTGCGAGAAGAGGAGGGCCCACACGTTCAGCTGCAGGTCTAGCAGGCAGTCGTTCCTCCAGCACCGCGCGGGCCAGCTGAAGTCTCGCGGGTCACCGAAGGTCGTGGTGAGAGCGACGTAGAGGAGGCAGAGAGAGGCGTTGATGGACCGGAGGTAGAACGCCTTCATCTCTTGCAGGTGCGTCCTTGCCGACTTCACTTGGAAGCACGCGTCGTATCGCTTCAGATGCTCCAGCAGCCTCCGCCCCAGCTCCTCGAAGAGCAGCACTCTCCCTCCCTCCACCAGCGCGAACACAACCGCCGAGCTGGAGGAGAGCTGCGGCACGTATGCGTCACGCGCGATGCGGATCAGGATGCAGCAGATGCAGGCGACCCAGAGGAAGAGGGAGATGACGGCGAACTCGGACATGGCCGTCAGCCACCGCACGTACCGCAGCCGATCGATGCTCTTCTCCGCAAACTGACTGGAGGGGCTGAGGAGGATGGAGCTGAGGTCCAGGAGGCGCGAGACGTCCACGTCCTTGAACAAGTCTACATCCTCCTCTGTGTAGTCCTTCACCGCCCACTCCGTTCGCAGCTCGAACTCCCGGCGACTCCACGAGAGCGTATAGGCCGCCAGCTGCGTGTGGAAGGCGACGGCGAAGATTGCCTGCAGCCAGTAGAGAGCGCGAGCTGCCTGCCCAGCTGAGTCTGTGGGCACCTGCTGGTTCCAGATGGCAAGCTGGAAGAGCTGGAGGAGGAGGCCCGAGACGGCGAGGGGGGCCCAGTAGCGGACAAAGTGATAGAACCAGGCGAAGTAGAAGGCAAGGTCCTCCCCGAGGTAGTCGCGGACCATGGTGACTGAACGCGACTTGTTCTCGAGTCTCCTGCTCAGAAACTCCAGCTGCAGCCTCTCCTTCATGTTCCGATCATGGAGGGGGATGAGGTCGACGAGGACGCTGTCAAACACGCGCGTGAGGGAGGGAGGGAGAGCGCTGGAAGAAGAGGAAGAAAGGGAGAGGAGGGGGAGAGGAGGGAGAGGAGGGGGAGAGGAGCGAAAGGAGGGAGGGAAAGAACGGGAGGAAGAGATGAGATACACGGCAGGAGGGAAGAAGGGCGCAGGAAGGATCAGGGGGAGAGGGAGGAGAGACAAGAGAGGAGGGAGGGAGGAGGGAATGGAGGAGGAAGAGAAGCAAGGAGGGCAGATAATTCACCCGTCATCTCTCAACTTCTCCAAGTCCAGGCAGGCTCCGTTGGTCTTATGCTCGGACGTCATGATGTTGTAGATGAGCAGCTGGAGTTGGCTGCTGGTGAAGAAGCTCGAGCTGCCGAGGCTGCCGTAGAAAAGATGTCGCTTCTCGATGGTGAAGGGCGCGATCCCTCCGTCGTTGAGCAGCTCCTTCTGCATTCCTATCCTCTCTGCCTCCTGCTCCAACCTCTCGCAAGGGCATCGGACGTAGATGTGCATTTCCCTTCCGCTCTGGGACTTGCAGACGATGCAGATAAGGCCTGCTGCTCGGAGAAGGCGAATGAGTTTCGCTCTCGACTTATTGTCATCCTCCACGTCATGTGAAAGGATGAGACACCATTCGCAGTGCATCGAGTCCATCGCCATCCTCGCTCCTCGCTCCTCGCTCCTCCTCCCCTCAGCTCTGCTCCCTTCACGCTCTCCGCTGATTTATTTCTTCGATTGGCACATTCGCTGCGAGGAATGCTTAGACACTCAGACGCTCGTACCCATCTCACCCCTCGTCCTCCTCATCATGACACAAGTCTTCTTGCTGCAGGCACATCTCCTGGTCTCCTTCGTTCTGACGATTCTTTCGACTTTCTTAATCTCATCATATCCTTGCGCACATCTTTCTGAAGACCTTTCAAGTAAAGCTTCCCTCTATTCCATCGTCACTTCCTCCTCCTAGCGCTTCTTTCCCTTCCGCACTCCCTCTTCCTTTTTCTATTCCTGACTTCCCCCCCCCCCCCCTCCCCCCCCCCCCTCCCCCCCCGTCCGTCCTCTCCCTCTCCCCCCCGTCTCTCCTCCTGCTTCTCCTCCCTCCCCCTGTCCTTCACATCGCAACTCATTTCCGCATTTTTCTATTCCTGGCTTACCGAATGATGGCAGACCACTTGGAGAAATACACCGGTCCTTTTCTCTGTGTTGACGGGGGTTCACGAAGAGGGGGTTGTTGCCCATGGGTTCGTGGGTGGACCGGAGAGCAGATTGAGTCGGGGTGGGTCCTGGTGAGTGGTGACTGTGAGTGGGTAGGGGTACATGAACTTGTCATATCACCCTACAAAAATCCTTTTGTTTAAGCTGATATGCAGGGGTATGAATGTCAAGGGTAGGGTTATGAGTTTGATCGTCGGGTAGGTGGTCGTGATCTCGGTGGGTGGGCAGAGCTGGAGCTAGGAGCGCAGATTTCAAGGGGAGCGAAGGGAAGGGAGAGAGGAAGAGGAAGGGGAAGCGAAGAGGAGGAGGAGCAGGATGGGGAGAGACCAGAGACGAGATGTCATGATGGGGACGAGACGACGAGAAGCCTTTCGGTGAAAGACAAGTCAGTGGAGGAGAAGTATTCCGACGAGCTAAGAAACCTTAGACAAGGTGAAATTGAACAGGATTGTTACCAAGAACGTGGCGGGGGTTCAAGACAGCAAGAGCAGAAACAGACAAGCTGACAGAACGAAAGTTACACGCCGTGTCTTGTTTGATTGGATAGTCGCTCGGAAGAAGAAGCCAGCTTCGTTGCTCTTCGCTAGAGCCTTGGACAACAAGGAGCGATGAACGACGAGGAGCTTCTGTCGCACATCTACAGGAACGAGGCTCTGACAGCACGAGGGTTCGATGGTTATCGTCAGAAACACGATCAGTTCAAGCTGGGAGCCATCGCTGAGCTCATCGACAACGCCATGGAAGCTCAGTCGACAAAGGTGATGCTCAACATCGACGAAGCGACCGGAATCCTCGAAGTGCTCGATGACGGAGTAGGAGTGCCGCGCAAGGTGGTCAAGACGATGGTCATCGCCGGGAGAGGAAACAAGAAATCCAAGAACAACTACGGGGTTGGCTTCAAGTGCGGTAGCTTGGGGATAGGCAACGACGTCCTTGTGCTCTCCAAGACGGTCGAGTGTAACTGCGGAGTTTACTTCAAGGTCATCCAGGGGGAGGACGTGAAGTGCACGTGCGCGAAGGGCGAGCGAAGGCACGTGCGAAGCCTCATCTACCTCACCGCAGGCTCGCGCCTGGAGGGGGACGACGATTCGCTGCAGATCCCGATGATCTTCTGGCGGGGGGACGGCAAAGCTCTGGTGACGTTGGAGGATCTGAAGGAGATGCCGGAGCAGGAGGAGAGGGGGATCTCAGACGCGGGAGTCAGTCACCTGATCAAGTTCGTCTGCACGCACTTCCACCTCCATACCCTCAAGGCCATTCAAACGAGTTTCGATCGCATCAAAGGCAAAACCGGCACCCTCGTCCTCATCGCTCACCTCAACGACAACGAGCTGGCGCAGCAGGTAGAGCTCGACAAGCCTCGCAGCGACATCATCGCCAAGCAAGGGGACGCGAACCTCGTTCGCGAGGACCGGAAGCCGCCCTTCAACGTGGGAACGGACGTGCCTCAAGACTATTCGCTGCGCTCCTACTGCGAGATGCTGTACGCGCGTAGCCCGCTCATGAAGATGCAGATCTACATCGCAGAGAAGATCGTCGAGTTGAGGTGTGTGGAGGACATGTGTGAGCCCCGGGAGATGGTGAGTTACGTCGAGGCCCTCGAGGTGAAGGGTGAGACCCACAAGCTGGAGGTTAAGCTTGGGTTCTCACCCGATGCTTGTACTCGTGGTGTCTGCGGGTTCTTCGTCTACTTTGACAAGGGACACCAGCTTCCTCCCCGCCTCATCTCTGCGTATCATCGAGTCGGGTTGATGACGAACAGAGCTGGGAAGGTGAACGGGATGGTGGGAGAAGTGATCCTGTCGCACAAGGCGGTGAAGGTGGATCAAGGGAAGCAGCGCTTTGAGTACTCAGCGACGCTGAAAGCCGTGGACTCGATTCTCAACTCCTGCTGCGATCTCTACGAGGAAGCGTATCAGCTTCTGCGGGACCAGCACGATGCCTTGATGCGGGACCTGGAGGAGAGGGCGTTCTCGCAGGGAAGGATCGTATGGGCCCAGTACACCAACCAGGGCCCCTTCCGCCACTGGCCGGGTATCGTGCTCAACCGCTACGACCGTGAGGTGATGCGCTACATGCCGAGTGAGCTCTTTCAGCCCTCCAACCCCAACGCCTTCCCCCGCGGCCCCCACCCTTCTCACCTCCTCGTCGAGTGCCTCGAGACCCGCGAGAAGATGTGGTGCAAGGTGTCGGATCTGGAGCCCTTCGACAGCGACAAGGGGGAGAAGATGGAGAAGGAAGCAGTCAAGAGCGTTGAGAGCGACTTGAAGGAGAGCCTGAAGGCAGCGATCAAGCAGGCGAAGAAGGTGCTGGAGGAGTACGACGATGTGATTGAGTGTAGTATCCGCTGCCATCTGTGCACCGCATGGCGAACATTCAGAGGATCGCGAGCCGATGCAGAGGAGAATGACTGGGAGTGCAGCATGGGCTACATCGTTGACGGAGAGACAAGATTCGACTGCGATCTGCCTTCGACGAACAAGCCGCGTGGGCAGTCGCACGGGCTGTTAAAGGACAGACCGGACAAGAAGCCGGTGAAGGCCGAGACGACGATCGTCAAGTCAGAGAGCGTGGCAGTGAAGGTGGAGAGAAGCAACGGGGATGAGAGGAAGGAGAGCTTGTTGAGGCGAATGCCTGCCAAAGAGTTCCTCTCGCTTCACTCCTCCCTCGTCCACAAGTGGGAGAGCGTGAGCAACGTCTCGGTGATGCAGGACGGGAGGGTCAGAACGTTGTCAGGCGTCTGGCGGAAGAACCCTGTGAAGATCAAGGAGTACAAACATGACAACTTCGACGAGTTTCTCAAAAACTTTCAGGTCATGAACACCTCTCTCTCTCACCGCAACATCATCAGCTCCCTCGGCGTCCTCCACAACGACGTCGAGCAAACCTTCGGCCTGATGATCAGCAGTCTACCCAGCGTGAAGTTGAAGATCAGCAACTCCCAGCTCGACGCGTCTCTGACAGTCAGGCTGGACGTGATGGAGAGAGTGTGCATGGCGCTGGCTTATCTTCATCAGCATGACCTCTTCCTCTCCAACCTCTCCTGGGAGTCCGTCCTGCTGGGGACTGACAACCATCCCTTCATCTCAGACTTCTCTCCCATGCAAGAAGCCTCTGCCGTCCTCAACTTGCGCTGGGAGCAGCTTCCGACCAACAGTAGAGCTGTTAGGAAGGGAGGACAGGAACAGCCCGCAGACACGCTCTTGACCCGCAGGCTCCTGATGCTCGTCGACCTGGAGCACCTGGGAGCTTTCATGCACTGCGTGGGATACGGGAGGGAGCCGGACGTGAATCTGGACCTGCGGTTGGACTTGGACGAGGACGGAGAGTACGGGCCCTTGAAGAGGCACGACAAGCTGCTCGATTTGATCACAGATTGCCTCTACGTGGAGGAGGAGGAGGGGGAAGAGGGTTGGCCAAGGGGCGTGGAGGACGTGCTCAATGCGATCAGGTCCATCCATGAGGCGAAGACAGAGCAGGGGGGGCTGGAGGAGCTGCTGGAAGAGCTCCATGAACACAAGTCCTCCTCCGATCGCTCCTTCCTGTGCTACAAGGTGCTCGACGCGCAGGACCTGTACTTGCTACGGGATACTAGCATGAAGGAAGGGCTTTTCTCCTCCTGCTTCGGGTGCCAGTCGAAGCTCCCTCATGCCGTAGCTGCCTTCACCCAGGAGGCTGCGGAGCCGATCAAGTCAAGTGAGGTTCTGCTGGTAAGAGACTGGAAGCTTGCCATGTGGAAGGCGAGCAGCGTCGAGCGAGCCAACGGATTTCTTCCCCTCGTGCTCGTCGTCGACCTCCGGAAGCTCCGCACCAACAGCTCCTTCAGAGTCTGCGACGAGCGCGGGCAGCTGTTGAAGCCTAGCAAAGTGCTGCAGTCCAAAGAGAAGGTGCTGCTCTCGGTCAAGAGGAGCATGGTACCTCAGGCCATGGTGGACGTGTGGGACTGGAGGTCGAAGGCGTACAAGGAGTTTCACAAGGCGATGGAGGGGAGCAGGTCGAGACTCTCAGACTTCGACGGCTGGAGCTCGAGAGTCGACCTGGTGCTCAAGGACAAGACGAGCGGCAGGAGCACAGCTGGAAAGCTGCTGGAGGGTCTGGAGTCGGACCCCTCCTGCGACCTCTTGAAGAAGCTTCAGGAGGTGATAGCGATCAGCGAGGGCAGGTGGAGGAAGGCCTTCCACCAGCTCAAGGCTGGCTGGACTTTCCTTCAGCTGGGCAGCAACCGGCTGCTGGTCGGAGAGTTTGACCAGAGGACGGTGAGGGCCGAGAGAGTCGCGTTTGCGATGAACCTGTTCGCTCGCGATCACATCCAAATAGGTTTCAACGGGTCGGTCGAGCGAGACTCGAGCCTGTGCATCGTCTACCTTTGCTATCAGCACATGGGGGTGACGAGGGAAGGGGGCAGGGGCGCGTGGAAGAAGCTCCTGATCGCTCTCTCCGATATCTTCCTGCTTGAGTGCATCAGGAACCGCAAGTTGTTCATCCATCGGGACAAGTCGCCCCGAGGCCCCGAGGAGAACGTCTGGCTCGTCCTGATCCTCATCGTCATGATGCGGCTGTTCAAGTGCTCGCTCAAGGACGCCCAGGGGAGGTGGCGGGACAAGGCGGGAGAGGGGGAGGAGGAGGCTCTGCATCCTCTTCACCTCCTCATCCTCCAAGACATCGAGCAAGACTTGAAGTCCGGCAGTCTCACACTGCACAAGAACGATCGTCGCTCCGCCTACCTCAAGGCCAAGGAACTGTCGCAGCCCCTGCTGCAGCCCTCGAAGCGACGAGCTCCTGCACCCGAGGAGAGTCGGAGCCCTCTCTCGGCTAAGAAGAGCAAGATGACTCACCCCGTCCCTGTGACGCAGCAGAGGGGGGAAAAAGACTGACAGCTACCTTGTTGCTGCAGGAGCGAGGAGGGAGAGGGGAGTAGCCCCTCGATTTGACTTGGTAACCTAAACATTTGATGAATGAATGAAAGCCGTGAGTGCATGAAGCTGCTCTAGTTGACATCTACGCGGCAAGAGAAGCACGTGATGGCTGGTGTGTTTATTGCGTGATTGTAAGGAAGGAGAGGAGGAGCTGAAGTACAAAAGAAGCGAAGGGAGGAGGAGAGATCGTCTCAGTGAGGGTCCGAGTCAAGGATATTCGATGCCGTCCTCCTGTTCCCGATCGATCCAAGGCCCGCTGCACCTTAGTCAGTTCCTCCTCCTCCTCCTCCTCCTCCCCATTGCAAGTCCCGCCCCTCTCCTCTCATCGTGTCATCGGCTCACTTGAGATGGCGGTGGTGGATCCTTGCGCTGACTCAGAGGGCAGGAGGCTGGATATCCTCTCCCTGCTTCCTTCTCGCGAGAGAACCGCTGCAGAGGCGCCGCCAGCCCTGGCAGGCGAGGAGTCTCTCGACTCTCTTCCGAAAGATCCTCGCGAGTCAACCTGCCAGGAAGTCAGTCATGTGGGGGAGGAGGAAGAGGAAGAGGAAGAGGAGAGAGGAGGAGGAGGAGGAGGAGGAGGAGGAGGAGGAGGAGGAGGAGGAGGAGGAGGAGGAGGAGGAGGAGGAGGAGGAGGAGGAGGAGGAGGAGGAGGAGGAGGAGGAGGAGGAGGAGGAGGAGGAGGAGGAGGAGGAGGAGGAGGAGGAGGAGGAGGAGGAGGACGAGGAGGAGGAGGAGGAGGAGGAGGA